TTATATTCTTAATAATTCTAAATAAACGCGAGAAATCGCATTTACACGGAAATAACAATTTTTTTCAAAGTTTTTTCAAAGTTTAAAAAATTGGCCAGAGAGAAATCCGAAAATAATTTCGCTGGGTCATCAAAATAATTTTGTAGGATGTTCAAATTGAAAGCTGAAAAATTGTTGCGATATCATCATCACGCTTAAGAGTAGCTTACATAATTATTTTAATGACTTAACAAAATTATTTTCTGGTCTGAATGTGGTCAAAGTTTTAGATACTTTATAGCAAAGCCATTTTTCCGTATAAAAATTTCTAAAATGATATATTCTTGATGATCACGAGTGAAACGTATACGCAACAATTCGCCATTCATAAGTCATATCGTCCAGTTTTCAGAGAAACGTACACGTATACTCGATCATTATCATTATTATACGTAATATTACAAACGAGAATCCGTAAGTTCGCTAAGCCTAAACGACCGTACTACGGATCCAGTCGTTCCTACGGGAAGGGAAGAGAGCGGCGTATTGCGCAACATCTCGCATGGGCGTCGTGCATGAAAAGGATAAACGTTTCGGGGCTAACACGTCGCACGGGACGTGAAGACAGTCCGTTCGCGTACTGCGATACCGTTACGCGGTATTGCCTACTCGCGGCGGACGGGAAGCTTAGGTTTTGTCCGACGAGGGAAGGCCGGGTCGATTAATCGGCGGCGGATTCTCCAGTTTCAGAGAGCGTGTTTTCCGCGGCGGTCGGGGTTGGGGTGGGTGGCTACACCTGGGGCGCTCCCACGCCCCCGCCGGGATCACCCTACAGCCCCGTGCCCGTGACACAGCTGGAGCTGCTGGCGAAAATTTGGCAAGCCTGGCGCCCGCAGCCGCCGCGGGTCAGCAGGCCCTGAGCCTGCAGGGTGTCGGCGTTAACGTGGCGGGTAGTCTGCATCACGCGCAGCACACGCAGCACACGCAGCACACGCTCAACCTCACCGGAATCCACCATCTGCATCACGGTAAGAGAGAGCCTGTCCGCGCCGCGTCCACGGTCGAAAACGGCCGTGGAGAATCTGAGATCTCGGGAATATCTCGCGGAAGAATCTCAAATTGATACATATCTGTATGAAATTTGACGTTTTCCTCGAAAACGAGATTTTCCGAGAATGGCAACAACAATTTGTTGCCCGTGAGTGAGACCACATCTGACCACAGCTTTAAACGCTGTTTTTCCTCGCGACGCCGTCACGACGGGCAAAAAATTGAAGAGATCAAAATTCCAGATAATATTATTGGTTGCAACGCGTTAACAACCGGCATTAAGTCATCCTCATCTTTATTCTCATTCTCTCCTTAGTCCGCCTGATAAATGTCTACTTAAGGTTAATGATATACGGATAACTCGTTATCCGATCCAAATCGTCAGCCCTAGTTATTACCGCGAATTAAACGAAGAAGTGAAGTCGTGTCGAAGAGTTAAGTAACGGCAAGATAGATATTTCTGATTTTGACGAAGTGTCACATCAAGAAGCAAACGATTAAATTTTGTTACACAGATATTACGTCTCTTATATTAATCTAAAATTTAACGAATCTAATAAACTGAATTCGATAAGCAAAGAAATCAAGTGACACAAGTGGGTAAATTAAAATAGAATCTTATTTATCAAATTCGCGTAACTCTTTATCACGCGAATAGCAGTTTTGTCTATGCAGCGGACCAACACTCGTAGTATTTCTCGCGCGGAGAAAACCTCAGAGGAAAAGACTCGAAGAAACATGTAAACGAGTTTTTTTTTCCCCCCTTATAATTCACCGATTGCGTTCGCCGCTGCGTTCCGAGGTTATTTCCGCGGGAATCATCTCAAATTATTCTACGTTATTGGCGCAACGTCAATCATGAAATGAAAATAGCGCGGGTCGTTACGTTCGGCTCCCTCGTCCACCATTTTTTTTCTCTACGACATCCGCAACACGTGTGATTCGTGAAAATTATCTTCGCGTCTACGTCGCGCGTGGTAATTACTCGGATCAATCGTAATCGTCGGTGGCGAATACGTTAACGTGATTTTTCTTGTGCTTTTTCGCAAAAGGTGGCCTCCATCAGAATACGTTCCCGCCTCAGCTGTCCCTGGTAACCGGCAGCGCGCCAACGCTGACCATCAACAACTTCTCGTCACCGAACTCGACCAGCATCGCGCCGACGACGGGCGTCCTCCTGCAGGAGTATCAGCAGCCGATAGGCGCAACCGCGGCCGCGACAGGATGTACCGTCACCGTGAACGGTTCGTCCTGTCTGACCAACACCAGCAGCGCGAGCAGCGGCATGATGGTGCACGGTGGCAGCGGCGGCGGCGGCGGTGGCAATCAGGCGATCGCCAGCCAGACCGCCGTTCAGGCCACCACCGCGACGAAGAAACGGGAGGCTTTCCTTTCCAGTCAAGGCCAACCGGTGAAGCTGGAGAACAAATCGACCAGGACGTCGTGCCTCTGCAGGAACGGCAACGGTACGGCGTCCGTTCTCCCTCGGACTTTCCCGTGCATTCAATGAATCGCGTACGACACGCGCGCGCGCGCGCACACACACACACACACACACACACACACACACACACACACACACACACACAGCGACGCACGGGGGGCAGCGGATTGCTCGCGATACTTTTTGTTCGTCCCTGTCGGCCGGCATCGGTATCGGGAGTATAACCGATCGTATTTATCCGTCCGACGGAACGTATTGCGTCGGCGGTTGAGTTATGAATCCGCGCTTAACGCTAGCAGCAACGAAATAAACATGCCGGACGGAAGTTTTCGCGTGATTTACGGACACGGGCGCGACACCGAAAACCCTCCGCGGATCCGTCACAAATTTTGCCGATGCCCGAATTCGAGTTTGCGAAATCGCCATCGCACACGTCGCATTATCCAACTCCAATTGATCGGCATTCGCGGAAAGCCGATAACGTAAGCTCGTAAAACGATGATTGACAACATTTTTTATGAAGATCGCGCCGACCGCTTTTCGATTTATCCCTTAACCCGATAAGCGCGTAAAATCGCGGGGAAGAATAACGCCCGCTGAAAAACGGCGCTTAATCCATTGAAATGAATTTCGAAGTAGTATTTTCGTAAATCCTGGTTGCCACGATTCTAACGAGAGAGAGAGAGAGAGAGAGAGAGAGAGAGAGAGAGAGAAGAAACTACCTAAA